TACGAGACTGGTCCCCGTACCGTACGGGGAGCCGGTACAAGTACCGGTGACACGTACGGTACTAGGGGCATTTCTGCAAAGGCCCCGAGGGCAGAACTGAAAAATGCAGTATTTGAAAGTGGCGCCCGAATTGCAGCATGGCGCCCGTTGTCCAAAATCCTACGGTACCAAAGGAGGGGTTTGGAAAAAGGGTGCCAGGCCGAAAACGGGATGCAGCTGAAACAGCAAAAGATAGACCAGGGATCGAGCCCTTGCGAAGTCGGTAACAGAGGCAGAGTCACCAACCCACAACGTCCATGAAGTCAAAGAAAACAGAAACCGGACTCAGACATGAACGAGAAGAAACGAGAAGGAAGTAGCAGATGATGACGAAGCGGGAGATGAGGGAGGAGTAGAAGGCGAAGAACACGATGAAAAAGAACAGTTCTCTCTCTCTCTCTCATCTCTCTCTCTCTCTCTCTCTCTCTCTCTCTCTCTCTCTCTCTCTCTCTCTCTCTCTCTCTCTCATTCACTGCTGCTGCTCGTGGCAGGCGACGACGACGCATCACTCGACGATGATGCGTCACTTGACGATGACGCGTCGCTTGACGATGACGTGTCACTCGACGATGACGATGACGCGTTGCTGCTTTCGGAGTTGTCGTTCTCTTGCACGCACTTCCTCCTCCTCTTCGAACCTCTTCTCGGCGACCGGGAGGCTGCAGCGACCTTCTTTGAAACTTCCTCTGCCTTCCTCTTCTTCGCCTGCCGAACAACCGCACGTTTTTCTTGCAAGGACGTCGGCGGTGTGACTGTCTTGCGTGCCCCGCCTCGTCCCCCGCGTGTGACCGGTCCAGATGGCACCTTTGGCTTGTTCTTCCCTCCTTTCTTTCTGCCTGCCAAACTCCGGACTTGACGCACTTTGCTGGCGTCAATTTCGGGCGATGACTCCGCCTCATGTTGTGTGGCTGCAACATGCGGGCGGTCGAGTCCTCCATCCTCGTCCACTTCGGCCGGTGTCCTGTCCACCATGCCCCGCGACCCGTCCCCGGCGTCCGTGCGGATGTCCTCGCTCAACAGCATAGCGGGAGGAGTCGGTCATGTGAATCTGGCCCAATCAGGAGTCTGCCCCCCGGAATCACTCCTCATGGGGACATGGCAGCCAGATGCTTCTCGAAGTCCGTCTTCGAGCCTCTTGCAGCAATTGGTGCGACGTGGTGCAACAGGGAGGYGAAACTCTCCCCCAGCGGCAATCCAGGGTCTGGAGTGGAGAAAGCATTGTCGCCGGCAGACTGACTGTCCTTCGCTGCTTCATGAAGCTTGTCCTCGTGTTCCGCATGACCGAGAACGGGAACGTCCACATACACACCAAAGTCTTGAACGACCCTCGCCGCTGCGCTGCCAACATCAGCATCCCTCGATCCCCCGCCTGTCATCCCCCGGCGTGTGGCCGTCTCCTCCACCGCGGCTCGTGGGAGAGGGGTGTGCTGCGCGTCGGCGGGTGTGCTGGTGCCCTGAACCGATGACACAGCACCGAACGCGAAGGTGCGTGGCCGTGCAAGGCGACCGGTGTCGTCGGCCAATGACATAGAAGAAGACCCTGAAGCCCCGTCGGACGCAGGGCCAACCCGTGCCTCGTCTTGTGGTGTGATGGCGACATCCGTCGCGGAGGATGACCCAACGCCCSACCGCCGAGTGAACCGCTTGTCCGTTAGAGGCACGTCGAGCAACTCTACGTGGCCGTCGCTGTCGCCGCCTTCGTCCTCCTCGTCGTAATCATCCACGACAGCCTTCCCACGCTCAACGTCCGCGACTCTGCGAGGGCGGTACGAAACATCAAGTAGCCATGCCCCGTCGTCATCCCTCTCCTCCKGAATCTCCCGCWCGTCGAATCGCGTGGTTCTCGATCTGCGCCCACGAGATTTCGACCAGTTGGCCGCCCTCCTAMGCACCYCCGCGGGGTCGTACTCCCCTTCTCGCATGRAGCCAYCGAATGGTGCCTCGTCCTCRGGTGTCTCCCRCTCCAGCCGCTCGGTGTTCACAAACCCYGTCTTCGCCTTCGRCATGCGYAATAACTTCCTGWTCCAGTGGATGAAGACCAACATCTCCAAGTTCTCCGGGCTCAAGAGATTCCTCCTCTTGGTGTGGACAAGATCGAACGTGGACCAATTCCTCTCACATGGAGAGGCAGTGGTCCACATGCTCAACACTTTGACGGCGATCTTCGTCAGGGTTGGGTGCCTTTTCCCGTACGTCAACCACCATTGCGCCATGTTCACGTGACCGCCCGTCAAAGCCTCCTCGAAGTTGGGGCCAATCCAGTCTGGAGCCATGTGRTGAAAACTCTTGAGGGAGATCCAGCACTCTTTGTACTCCTTCGAGCCCTTCGGATGAACCGAAGCGAAGTGAGTTAGTGTTCACAATCTTTTCGGATGCCATGTCGTCGAAGAGTCGAGGCGATCTGTGCAGCGGGTGCAACATACACGCCCCCGCATGCACAGGTAGAGCCATCATTCGCACGCGTCTTTCACTTTCTTCACCACAATGCCCCTTGTCTCGCTGTCCATCGGTATCGTGGCCATTCTCTTCTCCAACGTGATCCCTAAAGACCACACCTGCATTCCCATCCTCCCGTCGCTGTCCATGTTCCTCATAAGGCCATACACTGGCTCAAGCACGGTGCATGCCCGGTCGACGGTCGACCACCCGGGTCTCTTATCAGCTCCTTGCACGTCCGCGCCCTGGTCGCTGCTGCCCTGTCCCATGGAGAGTCATCCCACCTCGGGTTTGAAACAGTTGATAGCAACACCGGCTCACACTCTCGAAGTCGCTGCAACATGAGGAAGTTTGTGCCGAATCTAGTCTCTCCTAGCTGAATCAACTCCAAAGGCCTCCCATCTTTGATGCCCAACTGGGTCCTGTACTCTCTCCCGCTCTTACGGAACATTGCCAACGCCCGCTGGTGTCTCTTGACGAAGGTTGTGATCTCCCTGCCTTGAAGAATCACCTCTCCGATCCATGGCACCGAAGCAATGTCACACATGAGAAGGTTGCACACGTGGCATGCGCACGGCACCCATGGAATGCTCCTGATCGCAGGGTCGTCATGGTTTTCCAATATCTTCTTCGCAGAAATGTTGACCTGTGCCGAGTCCGTGCAGATCTCGTACACCCTGTGCACCCCCAACTCTCGTATCACCTCCACCCACATCCTTGCCAAAGCGGGAGCCGACTTGTCCTTCCCCTCCATGTCCACACTACGCACCATAACAGCCCCCGAATCGCCGGCTGCGATGAAGTTAATGACCGGCCTGTTGCTGGTCGTTGTCGTGCCGTCCGTCATCAAGGTCAGGCCAGTGACATCCCATGGCTCGCGGATCTTGTCAAGATCCTTGTCCACGTCTTTGTATTCGGACAGCGAAGCCTTCGTCCTCAGGTGATTGTATACAGGCATCCGCAGCATCTTCCTCGATCTCGCCGCCGAGTTCATGATCCTTTCCATGTTCTTATACGAGTCCGAGCGCGCGGCGTTGAAGGCGATGGCATTCTCAAAGAAGAAGGAAGCAACCGCCTGGTCGAACTCCCTCTGCAGCTCATCCACTACGAAATTCTTCATGGACGACTGCTGTGCACTCGATGGAGGTCGTGGTGGGCGAGCTGCAGCCAAAACAGGACCCCGCAGGTGCTCAGCGATCTCTTCCGGGATGTCGGCCCCCTGGAACCCCGAGCGCCCCTGTCAACAACCGATGCCGAATCAAAACCTAGAGCGCTGCCTTCTCCCACCGTCGAACCCGTGTCCCGCCCTCCGTCTGCCGCAGTCGACGACGTACCGACCTCCCCCGACGCACAAGCCACATCAACGGGAGCAAGATCCTGCGCATCCACAACAACCGGCGGRCRACCCTGTTCCTTGTAGTAGTCGTTCAATTTCGSCAGCRACGCAGGGAGCAATGCCACTTTCGGGTGGTCGCTGCGAATGACAGCAAGAATTTCACCGGTGGTAMGCGGACAGCGGGCAGTGACCGACGGTTGTGTGTGGTGTTTCACGACTTTGGACAGCGTGCCGACGAACTCCTTGTTGCAGAGCCTGCAACGCAACCTCCACGAGCTGTRTGATGTCCCYGTCGTCACCTTCTGGCMTCTGTCYGCCCATTTCCACAGCTCCGATTGGCTGAGCGTCCTTTCTCTATCTGCACCGGTCTCAGGCTCGAATGGCACTCGATTGCCCGCCATGGTCGTCGCACCGGAGGTGGGTGGTGGAGAGAAGATGGAGATGAGAAAGAAGAGGACGGAGAAAAGATGGGGGGGAAGAAGAAGAAGAAGAAGAAGAAGAAGAAGATGGAGAGAAGAAGAAGAAGATGGAGAGAAGAAGAAGAAGAAGATAAGATGGAGAAGAAGTAGAAGAAGGAGAAGTGGAGGGAGGTGAATGCCTG